CACATTGGACCATTTAAGTCGACACCTTAAAGCAAATTTAAAACAGTCGTATATTCGTGGAATGGAGTATACACCCCCTTTGGACAAGTTGTAAAAAGAATTTATTTCTGGTAGTCGATTATCTGCATCTTCTTCTATGGAATGATGCACGGAACGAATTAATATCACAGCTTTATTTTTCTTAGTTGTACGGGATAAAAGTGTTAGGTCTTTGGTAAATCCATACAAATGGTCGCCTTCATTACGATTTGGTCGCGGAAGGAACTGTGGAGGAATTTCTTTTTTATTTCTTCGCATTGTGCCAACGTAAGTGGGTTTATGTTGTTGTAGATGATGTACTAAATCAACTGAACTATACGTCCATAGAACTAAACCAGTTGTCGCTAGTTACATTTCTATTAGTATTGTAAAGATGTTTGACTAATCTTGAATAGGTATGCTCATTCTTTTTTATTTGTGAGGCTAAATCCATGTGAACCTTTTATAGCATAAATGTAAGCATTATGTAAATACCCAGTTCGTGCATCAGTCATACATAAGATTTTTATCCCATATTTACAGGGTTTGCTGAGAATAGACATTTTAAAGCGACATCTGCTTCTGAAGCCTACTAGCATTTCGAATACACACACATTTTTCCCAACGGTATATGCATCTTTTGAATTGCTTACAAATAAGTCAAAGAATTCTTGGATAGCAGCAGCTGAATTATCCCTTGCTCTTTGTTCTCGGTCAGAGGCATCGTCAAATCTTAAGGCGGCCATCAGGGCCAGGAAACGTTTCTGCGACATAACTGATCTAAATATAGACCGTCGTTTACCGTTCGTAGCAAACAGACTTCGTACATCCTCATGATTTGACTTATAAACAGAAGTATAAAGAAGCAGTCCCAAGAAAGCTCTCAATTCTATTTCATCAGTATCAGTCAACTCGGATTTGTCTTTTTTATATTGTTGATATTTTGGCCGAAAAGTTGCGAGTTTTTCGTTAGTTCTCTTGACAACATGAATATACAGATTGAACCAAATTAAAACGGAACATACAATTTAATACATGTCTGTTTGAACTGCATTTAAAATAGTGGACCAATATAAAACTTGGACAAAAATAACTCCATACCTGGGTATAGACATTGTATAAAATATCGTTCAACTATCTGTCTCGCAACAAAGTTGTTTGCGTAAGACGGGTTTGTGGTTTGTCTAAGGAGGCGATAATAGTTCAGGAATTGAAGCTCGAAAAAAGTTAAAACCTCGCAATTTTTTCGTCCTGCATGTATCCAGTTGAAATTTTAGCAGAAGGTAGGTAATAGCCCAAGGATCAAAATCTATATCGAACCGAAGTGCGTTGTAGGGTTTTAGGGGTGAAAACTACCCCTAATTGTAAAAAATTATAAAATAACATATTAAACCTGAATATGGTTAAGATTTGGTTTGAATTAATTAAATAATGATTATTTTATACTTTTGAATAGAGTTCCATCATATTTCAACCCTTAAAAATCAACCCTTGTTAGAGATTACTGTAAAAAATTACTAATTCTAAAAAAATGATTTCGCCTTGGATCGATTTGGATAAAAATTTTTATTTAAGCTCAATTCACCCGCTGCTTTATAGTTTATGTCATGTCGACGAACCCTGATTGTTCTTAGGGGTGAAAACTACCCCTAATTGTCAAAAATTATAAAATAACATATTAAACCTGAATATGGGTAAAATTTGGTTTGAATTAATTAAATAATGATAGTTTCGTGCTTTTCAATAAAGTTCCATCATATTTCAACCCTTAAAAAGCGACCCTCATTAAAGATTAATATAAAAAAATTAGTAATGCGAAGAAAATGATTTCACCTTGGAACGACTTGCATAAAAATTTGGAATTAGGCTCAACTCACCCTCTGCTTTATAGTTTATGTCATGCCGATGAACCCTAATTGTTCTTAGGGGTGAAAACTACCCCTAATTTTCAAAAATTGTAGAATAATATTACAAATCCTAAGATGAGTGAAATTTGGTTTAGATTAGTTAAATAGTGAGTTTTTATACTTTAAAATACAAATTCATACATTTTCAACCCTTAAAAATCAATTGTTATGAGTGCTATAGGTGAAAACAATTTTTTGCCAAAATTTTGCAACTTTTCAACTTTTGAAAATCACCCTTTACAACATTGCAGTTTTTATAAACTAATTTATAAGATATAAATTGAAAAAAGTAGAATTAAATACAAAAAAAATTATCAACATAAAAAGGCACCATATATTCTTATACATTTACATAAATAGTTGAAAATATTTACATTTATAGGTAAAACAATTATAATATTAATTTTATTCGTCATCAATTACATCTTCATCGTGATCTATGTCATCATCATCTTCCTCAATTATTGGTGGACTGTTATTGCACCCTTCACCTGAGCACCCAGAACAAGTAGAGTTACAGTATAAACCAAATTTTCTGCACCCATATGAAACGCCGCATCCTTTTTTGCATTGGCAAAAAATAATTTTCAAAAATTTATCGGGTGCAGGTTGTTTGTTCATGCGTACGGGTAATAACAAACCATCTTTGGAAAACCATCCCCAATCTGTTGCTCTGATATTTTCATTGCCAAGCCATAGACATATGAGCAGATGTTTTATTCTGTTGTATGGGATTTCAAAATAAGAACGCTTAAAATTTCGAATGTATAACGCCCCCTAGCTAATATACCGGTTTTGTAGATTATTATGCTCAGAAATGTACTGTACTATACTAATGGAATTTTCCGGAAAAATATTAACTGGTTTTTTTAACGTATTTCCTTTAATTTTTAACGATAGATGTTTTTTCAAAAACGATTTGTAGAGGTTTTTAATAGCTACAAGGATCTGTGAATTAAATCTTTTTGGAACCCTTTTTTTTTAAATAGGGTGAGTTTAAAGGGCTCGAAAAAGATGGTGCTTGATCGTAAATCGATGCTTTAAACGGCTATATCTCGCCAAATATTCATTGTACAACAAATCTAAATAAAGGATAATTTTAGTCATTAAAAAAGCTACAATTTGGTAATTTTTATTTTTTTTCATATATTCAGTATTTTCGGGCATATTTAAAAAAAGAAGGGTAAAAAATATGAAATTGTAAATCGTTTCTCGCTTTAAGCTGTACTTTTTCTAAAACTAAGCATTTTAAATGGGTCAAACTTCTTGGACGTATTAACAATACATCTACAAAGGGAATTGCAGAAGGGTGAAGATCGATTTTAATTATGGGGGTGGTTAGGGTGTTGTTTTCCTCGATTTTTTCGTAAAAAATGAGGTATTGACCTTATTTTTTTATGATAGGTCTATTTATGCTCTTTAAAAAAGGTTTTGTGAGTTTTCTTCCAAAAATGCATCATTTTCCCGATATTTGACTTTGAATCTTTCAAATTTGGCATTTGAAGAAAACCGCTGAACATTGATATTGTATTTGTAATTGTATTTGTCTTTTTAAAAGCTACAAATTTGTTCTCTACAATTTTTTTGATAAAATGCACCATTTTCGAGTTATTCGCGAAAAATCGATTAAAAACGTGGATTTTTTCGTCTAAAAGTTGTTACTTTCAATCGCGAATAACTTGATAAATATCATTTTATAAAAAAATGTATAGCACATTTTTTGTTTTTAGAATCACTTTTCTAATCGAAACCTGTAGTTAAAACGTAAAAAAAATTTTCACCCCGGAGATGGGGTGGCAACTACCCCCTAGGCTTTGGCGCACTTTGGTTCGATATAGATTTTGATCCTTAGGCTATTACCTACCTTCTGTTAAATTTCAAGTCAATCCACGCCGCAAGAAAAAATTGCGAGGTGAAATGCTACATTTCCTGGAGTATAACTGGTTTGACAGCATAATAAAATCGTAGATTTATGTGTAGCTTTCAATTTTTATGAGTTCAGAATCCAGCAGCCCGCTGAAGTATGGGATTTTTTATAATATAATTATTTGACAATCTTTTGTTGGCCAACCAGCTACAGCAGAATTGAGCCGAAATACATTATATTCCTATGTTCCGAATTTATTTCGTTCAATCTGTATATCTGGTGAAAACAATTTATTAAAATAATAAACGGGACTCGTTGACTTTTTTATTTTTGAACGGATTGATGGGAGTACAACAATATTGTAAGCAGGCGTACGGACGTTTCTAGTTGGCTCCTTTTTACTCCACATACCTATTCTTTCCGTAGTAATAATTGCTGAAATTGGCACACTCTTCTTCATATTCGCTAGATATCATTTCTGAGTCTTGTTGCTGTTCATTTTCACTCAGTTCTTGTTAACTGTCCGTACAATGATCACTTTCTTTATAATATCCTTCTTCCACATCATCACTAATGTCACTGTTCGTCTCATTATACCATTTTGTGCACACTTCTTCGAAATCATCGTTTAATACTCTTACAGCTTTACGAGAACTATCTATATTAAAATAACACTAATGGTGACTATTAAAATAATACTAATGGTAATTGCGTCTAGTAGACTCCGCGACGTAAATATTTCGAAAACGGGACAAGCGAGGTACCTCTCATTAACACGTTCGAATATACTCTAAAAGCTAGGAAGGTATACCGAATTACAGGTTGCTACGTATTTGTGGCGAAAAACGCAGACGCGTTAATAAACGTGCTGAGTCTGTGAGGCACATGGTTACCAGTTAAGGATTAATAAATATGATTTTAAAATTCTCAAATGTAATTACGGTTACCTTTTTCTGTTATAATACCATGTTGATGCCTATGAAAGGTTGAGCAGCTTCGTATGGCTGTTATATTTTTCGCTGTTAGGGAAATTTTAACTCTGTTGATGTTATGCATCAACGGTATAACAACGGCTTGAACCGATCACAAGCATAATTCGATTATTGTTGATTTGTTAGACTTTAAGCATGTTAAAATTTTTGTGCATGCATTAGTATAAATTGTTATCTTGAATTAAAAAAGAAGTATTAGTTGACTAATATTTTCAGGACGTTACATTACATGATCTAGATGCCGCTAATGCTAAACCTCAAGGTGGACAAGACGTTTTGTCAATGATGGGCCAACTTCTAAAACCAAAGAAAACAGAAATCACAGATAAACTTAGAAAGGAAATCAATAAAATAGTAGATAAATATATTGATCAAGGTATTGCAGAATTAGTTCCTGGTGTACTATTTATCGATGAAGTACACATGTTGGATATAGAAACGTTCACTTATCTACACAGAGCTTTAGAAAGTGCCATAGCTCCAATTGTTATTTTTGCAACGAATAGAGGTAAGTTTTGGAAATTATTTTACTATCATTTTATGTAAACTTTTATGGTCTGCGTCTTGTAATAATACATTATTATTATACAATAGTAATAATAATGTATTATTAATAATATATTATTATTATCGCAAACAACTGTTTTTGCAATAACAAAAGTCAGAAAAACATTAACTCACAATAATACTACTGGTATTATTTGGCAAATATACGAAAAGGTTTCAGAATCTTAGATGCCGGCGCAGAGATCTGAGAGAGCGCGCATTCGGAGAGTAAAAGAGGGAAGACGTAAACGCTCGGTTTGGTGATAAGGTACAGTCTTCATCAAAAATTTTTTTTGCAAAAATGCAAAAATTTAAATACTAAGAAACATTTGGATATAATACAAATTATACAAATACCTAGTATGGAGTCATTAGCAAGAAATATTTTGTTGAATTTGACGTAATCCATTAATGTCTTTTTAATCGTAATAAGTTATACAGGAAGGTAGGTATTATTTAAAAAATACGTAAAACATTTATTTTTTATTTATTAGCTTTTCTCCTTAATGGTTTACATTTTAGATGTGTTTACAAAAATTAGGAAACAATAATAATGATATAAAACTATAAATAAAGTAAATAATTTTATTTACAGAATAAAAACAAGTAAACATAAAAAAACGTAATTATAACCAATAAATTTTAATAAATAATGTGAAAATATGGCTACTGTTATTATTGTTTTAATGATAGATTTCAAAGCCAAAAAATTACAATGTTAGTTACAAATTTACTATAAAGCAATATTAAGAAAATTACTACAGTAAAAACTTTAGCTGGATTTAATAGTAACCTCACGACTATGGCAGGTTTCGAGAATATTACAGGCGCATTTGATAATGTTAAGCTAGATGTTTTAACGAACAAATTAATTTCAATTGAATTTCTTAAACAATAATTAGCGCACTTTATAACTAAATACTACTACTGTACACAAACGAAATGCATTTAAAAATAAATCAAGTAATGACTATACCTAGAACTACGAACCTTGGACTCCCCCCAAGGCAGTATTTTAAGTCAAGTTCTGTTTTACTGCATTCAATGAATTTCAGTATTAAACTAGTAAAAGTATTATATTTACAGATTGCAAAAGTTTCGTAGAGAGACTAATTCATCGCAAAAACGATCCACAGAACTAAACTTAAAGTCAACGTTTTTATCGGCCACGTATTTCTTAAGAGCTGCCCATACTAATTCTATGGGGTTGAGATCTGGATGATACGGAGGCAGCCGTAGTACCGAATGACCACTATTACCCAGTATTCTGTCAATTTCATACACCTTAAATCTGGGTTTATGGATTTGTACAATGCTGTAAAGATCTACTTTTAACATATCTTCTGAAAAAGGCAGATTGCGTTGTCTTAGCCACTCTCATGACATTTTTTCATTGAACTCATAATATTAGGACACTTTTCAACTTGCACGTTGTGATAAGAAGCATTGTCAACAACCAGGACACTACGTGGAGGAAGATTGGGAATAAGCATTTCCTGAAGCCATTTTTTATAATTTTCGTAATTCATTTCACTGTGGTAGTCACCTGTTTTTGTGTTTGATTTAAATTTCAAATAAGCATTTTTCACAAACCCGTTTTCACCACCTGCATGCACTATTATCAGTCTCTGACCTTTTGAAATCGGAGCACGTAATCCCTCATTGGAATTGTCGCTCCAACTTTCCAACTCGAGTGAGTATGGAAAGAATGAATGTAGGTTTCGTCCATGTATATGATAGGACGCTTCTCTTCTCGGTATTTTTAATATCTCGAAGAAAGTTACGTCTCAACTGTTGGATTTCCGGTTTTTCCATTAAAAGTTTTTTATTATTTTTTGTTTTTCTCCAACGAAACCCTATACCCCTCATTGCTTTTCTCAATGATTCACGCGAACCATTGTAGTTGTACTCAGTGGCAAATTTTCTATGTATTCGTCGTAAAGCCGACTTATTTCTTTTTTTATTTGGAGTACTAAAGCTTGATGCAGTACCATCTTCGATGCACTTCATTTCCTTCAAAATGGCTTGTATGGTAGATAAACTTACACCTGTTGCTCTTACAACACGTTTTTGCACTTGTTTTAAGTCTATTAGAGGTAAGTTGTCACTTGCTTCTTGTTGCATAAAATGCATAACATTTGCTATAATTTCTCGGCTTTCACCGGACAAAACTTTTCGATTTAATTTTGATTTAAATTCCATTGCACTGAGACACACTATTCTTTAAGAAAACTCTGCCGCAGACTGTACCGACCGACCTTTACAAGTTGAAGTGTTGACTTCGACTGGTATATTTCCGATAAATTTAGTGCGCATCAGGTGGGCGTGGCGATTATAAGATTTTCAAACTTCTTCCTAAATTTGACAAATAATAGCATAACGACGGCCTAATTGACAAACCACGTACAGTCTGTCCCAAACACTTCTTTCAGTGCGTCACTAATTTTGACGTCATATAGGATTTTAAGAATGTCGAGAATTATTGCATGAAATTTTAGTTAAATCTGACAGTTGCAGGATCGTAATCGGCCAAATGTGAAAAGGTTATTTTTTTTTAATCTGGAGTAAAAACTTTAACAATTCAAATTTTTATTTAATTTACATATTAGAGGTCCCGTCCTGTATAAAAATTTTTATTGTGCATTATATTGGAAGGGCAGTTTTATTATTATTTAATTGTTTATGGATTTATTATTATTTATTACAAACACTATGGAATTGGAATGTTTGTTTATTTAAAATAACGCTTCCACCTAGAATCTTTTAAGAGTTGACTGCGAGATAAAAAATTTACGGGCAATTACAAGGCATCAAAGCAAACATTCCTGTGATTAAATATCATCGATTGAAATCTGTCATATTTGGATAAGTAATTTTCCGATAAGTTTCTGTGGCAGCCAATAGTTTAATTTTGTGAAGATTTATCATTTAATATTGGAAATAGTTTAAATAGTGAAACAGTTGTTTTTTGAGATATTTTACCAGAAGTTTAGTTAAAAAGACAATGTAAATAGTTTAAATAGTGAAGCAGTTGATTTTTGAGTTAATCTACCAATTCCGGTATCCAGATTAAATAGTGTTAATGGAGTTAAGTTAAAAAACAAGGTACCGAATGTAAGTTTACCTTCTTTTTTATGAATAACAAAAATGAATATTATATTTCAAACAATCGACAATCCGATTCAGAATCTAATTCATTAAAATCAATGATTACAGTAGACATGTGTATCAATTATATCTTACATTTAAAGAAAATGTCGTGGTTCTAAAAAGAACCGTTTTAATACATATAAATATCCATAACGGTATTAATTTCAAGATATTGCCTCAATATCATTCCTGCATTTACAATCTGATTCGCGAACGACAGAAACTGGTAATAAAGTTGTCCCAGCCTCTTTTTCTAATTGAAAATAATTTAATAATTTTAATATTAGTTTTTGTTCATTCTCGGTATATCTCGGAATATTTAAAATACTTTTATGGCAATAAATACAAAATTTAATTTTCACTGTAGGTAAAATGTCTGATAATACTAACCTGGAATGACAATTATCATTTTTTCAGTTGACATTGTGAAAGTACTGTCACTGTCACGATCGAGACCATCTGCGTCAAATTATATTTATGTGCATCATTGATTGGATATCTATTTAGCGTATTCTAAACTCCAACCAATTATACATCCTTAAGTAGAATTTGCCTTAATATGCGAATATCCGTGAACGATACCTAATTTTCTAAGTTCTATGTATTATAATCACAGACTTACGTTTTTTTCTGTCACTTCTAGCTTAATGGGTTAGAGAGAATTCGAACAACTATGATGCACTGAAAGAAGGGTTTGGGACGGACTATAATTCAAATTATCCGGTTTTTACAGGAGCAACCAAAAACTAAATAACTTTGAAAAAGTAGGCCTTACCGACTTTGTATTCTTAGAAACGGTTTTTCCAGATTTAGTTACGGAGTTACGGGGTATTACTTTAAGAGATACGTGGTTTGCAAACTTTCAATTAGGGAGATAATTCGTTTTAAACCTAATATTCTATTAATTTGAACTACCTTCATTTGACCCAATGTTACAGAATATTATCTACATAGGAGAAATAAAATAAGGATAGTACAACTTGGATTGAAAACGTGTATTACATTTGTTTAAAAAAAATACAAAGTTTTGTTACATGGGTAAATTATAATAAAATAAGTCTTTTGTAACACTCGGTTTCAGTTCTTGTAAATGTTGATATTTAGCCGCAGTAATTTTCAGTATGTCATTTTAGAGTGGTTAAAAGTTAGCTTCAAGGAGTTCTCGAACTTTGTTCTGTTAACTGGTCAAAGATTATTTGGATCTTATGTTTTCTTTTGGATTTTTTTGGATCTTATATCTTAGATCTTATCTTATTGTTATAAGCTTTGTCCATAAAATTTGTACAATTTTCAGTGACAATAAAGCATATTACTTATTTACTTATTTATTTGCATTGCTATTAAGGCTAAAAAATAACCAAAAAATTAGTTTTAGAGCATTATAATAAATATTCTCGAGATGGGATTGCAATAAAAACTCCTATAGCCAACAAAACATATATATATATATATATATATATATATATATATATATATATATATATATATATATATATATATATATATTAAATAATTTCCATAATTAATTGGAATGTGTAAATCATCAAATGCTTCTCGAATTTTAGGTCGTTGTCTGATTAGAGGAACGGACGATGTTTTTTCTCCACATGGTATTCCTTTAGATCTGTTAGATAGGCTGTTGATTATTCGGACAATTCCTTACGGTAGAAGTGACATGGAACAAATATTAAAGCTAAGGGCTACTACAGAAGGTAAATATATTACATTACGTTAGTAACTCGGTAATATAGCGATAATAATTATTTACAATAAAAATAATTAGAATTTGATATCAGTATTGAGAGTAAATTAAATGTTAGCTTGAATTCTTACCATGTCGGGAGAATTTTTCTCCAAGATTTACAATTGGGTTACGAACAAGATAATTTTACTCCTATGATTGAATGTGATTGTTTTTTTTTAAGACCAGTCACTATACTTGAGAATCAAATTTGTAGGCAGTTAATTCTCCGAACTGTGAATGCGATAAAGCGACAACATCGTTGTCAGTTTGTGATGATAGATATTCTAGCAATTTATAATTTAATCATTGACATGCAGCAAAATTATCATATTAATGATCGTTTTGTATTTGTAAATGTATCTAATAAACTGTATTTAATAACATCAATATTTATGTATAATATTATATGTATATACAATACTTATATATAAAAAACATCTAAAGTACGATAATATTCTTTGTATAAGTCATACATGAAAACGTCGTATTCTACGACCGGTAGAAAGGAATAGTAGATCAACGTTGTCATAATATAGAGAGAGGTAAATTGCTCATTGATTTCCTAGCTTAGCATTCAGTAGCATATCGTTCACACTGTTGCAGTGAATGTTTAAAATTAATCTTAATATAATATGATATGAGACTTATATTTAACTTTTGAAGTAAATACTTCTTATCACAAAAAAACACTTCTCAAAAAACTACTTTCAAATTCCATAATTTTGTACAAAACATACGTGACAAAGAAACTTTCTATGACATTTAATGACAAACTATAACTTTTTTTAATGACATTTTTTGTTTGTTACAAGAATTAATTATCGAAAAGGCAGGTGGCGAGATTTACCCTCCTATTATTTCAATGAAAGGTTTCTTTTCATTAGAATTACTTACATTTTAAATATACTAATTTACATAATTAGGAAAATCCAATTCTGAACTTGCAAATTATGTGAAGTGAACTTTTACTTTTAGTGAACATATAAACATTCACACGTATATATTATAATTAAATAAAATAAATCGAATCGAATATACCTACTATAAGTATTCATTTTTTTAAGAGCAAAGTATATTGGTGCAAATCGTATTTTAGTTTGAAAACTAGGTTAACAAAATAAACCTATGTACATACGAAAATAATCTTGAGAAAATGGTTCGACCTCCACAGGAAGTCAAAATATTAATCATCGTATGAAGACGACTCGTGGCTGATGAAGAGCTATCGCGTTCACTATTATTTACATTGATAATTAACGGTTCAACCGAAATGCCCACTCTTGTGTCTAAGTCCCACATTCTATCTTCTTCTTTTATAGTGTATCTTATACAATTTTTCCAAGACTCAGGTGACATTTTGTATGACAGTAGCTAACAAGCACTTGGCCACCTCCATTTTAAAACTCAAGTTTTCTCTTGCCACTTAGTTTTTTATTTGAGCCCATGTAAGCTCGATAGTGTTCAGCTCATAATGATAAGGAGGGAGGCGATGTACAATTATTTTGGTTGTACGAGCCATTTTATCGACTGACTATTTCTTGAAAACGGGTATATGTATCCTCGCTAGGTTTAATAATTGTAGTTTCAACATGTTGTCATTGAATGGTATATTTTTTTGAGAGAGCCAGTTGAATATTTCACCTTTTCGCCAGGCAGTCGTTGGTGATTGCTCCAACCGTCGACTGTGGACAGAATTTGCTTCAAGGTTTCGTAGAATATTTGAAAAATAACCTTCGAATCTTTGAGCGTCCATTTCCTCATGGTAATCGTTGGTTTTCTTGGATTCGAATAGTAACAAACCGTTGTCAAAAAAACCCGAATCGCTGCCTGTATATGTTATTATGAGCCTCCGTACTTTACCCACTGGTGTTTTTAAACCTAATGAAAGCTCTTCAATGAACGCTTGTCGACGACTTTTAATTTCCAAATCTTGTCACACCTTTAAGACAGTATGACCTTGATGTAGCCAAGTTTCATCTAAATAGTATACTTTTCGTCCTTCACGACGATACTCTCGGATTTTTTGTAAGTATTTTCTCCGCCACAAAACAATTTCATCTTTTTCTAAAAGAACACTATTTCTGCTTCTTTTCATATTTTAATGTTCATTTCTTCTAATGTTCGCAATAAAACACGTCGTGATATTTTGGGTATTGACTTATCGGAATTTATTTCAACTTCAACTTTCTTTTCGTTCCGAAAAAAGAAAGCATGGAATTTTCACGATGAGTGGAATACTATTTTGCAGACGTCACGTTGCGTAGCAACGACGAATAGAATCGACGGTTGCTAGGCAATGTGACGTCAGCAAAATAGTATTCTACTCATCGTCATCCCACCACTGTTTACTTCGACAGCAAAACAACTGAATCCCTGAGTAGCCGACTTTCACCGATTATTGTTTATTGTAATTAACTCAAATTTATAAAACAATAATAGAAAGTTTGGGTTGTACGGCGATGTAGTATATCTTTTCTAAGTAAAAATATTAAAGAGAATAAAAGTTTTGATTCTAAAAGTGGCCATTCTTCATAATTTTTAATGGCGAATTTAGATTTCTCGTCCCAAAAAACTCCAGCTTACCAAATTTCGTGTTGTTATCCTATGCCTGTCATGAAATATTCAAAAATAAAAGTTTAACTTTGACATCCGTTATTTTGGTTTTTATCAACTTTCGTACTAAAGTAATTTAGTTTAAATCGGCCTATTTTAATCCCAGGAATCTAAGATTAAGTTATGGCCATTCGTTACCAAACACCAGGTATATTATATTAATATACATAATAACCTAAATGTCAATAATAATCATATTAAAATTAACATAATTATAAATAGGTACATATTTATTTAATACAAGTAGCTTTGTCGTAACTTCTTATGACATTTTTCGTACGCCATTGAAAGACCTACATTAGCGATGAACCGTCACTATTACTTCCAAGAATTTACTGCCTAGATTTCTGCAATCTGACTATAGCTGTATTTATTTTTTCTAACAAATGCTTTAAGTTAAAGTTCATATCATGCAATCAAAAGAAATATCGTCCTATACAGTCGTTAGAAGCCTCTATTAGGAGTCTTACGGTTGTATCTGGTATCATCTGCAGGGTATCTGTTGAAACTTTAACATCACACCACATTTTTCGCAAAAATGTAATACATAATAATGTACCATTTTAAGGGTTTGGACCCAAATATTTAGTGGCTTGACTCCTGTACACTTGCTACATATACATACATGATACACTGATGATGGACTTTTTAGTCTGAAAATGTTCTGTGATGTAGCCCGAAAGGTTGTTTTAATTATATACCTTTTACAAATGATTTTTCAATAAAACTTTTGATTATTGTAAGGGCATCATAGTACATAGTAAAAAGGAGTATAATAAATATATCCACTATAATTTCTTTTTCATAGTGTTTTTATGTATCATATTTTTAACTATTATATTTTTAGGCTTAGAAATTGATCATGAAGCAATCACATCGTTAGGTGAAATTGGGGCAAAAGCAACTTTAAGATATGCAGTTCAGTTATTAACGCCAGCACATCTAACGGCAAAAATTAACGGAAGAAACAATATACTTCAAAGTGACATTGAAGAAGTTGGTTCCTTATTCTTAGATGCTAAAGCTTCAGCGAAAGTTTTATCTGAAAATAAAGAGAAGTTTATGACTTAATTGATAATAGCAATATTTTGTAACTATCAATTATGTTTTTTCGATTTTTTTTTACATGCGTTAATATTTCAAGAAACTGTTAATAAAGATTTAACAAGACACATTGATTACAAATTCGACTTTATTCATGCTATTATATATATATTGGTATGCCAATTGTGAAAACAAGTGTATGAGGCACATGATTATTTTGTACCGTTTGTTCATTTTCGACAAGAATTATAAATTAATGTTTAAAAAAGTAAAGAATTTTAATATAAATTTGTGTTTAACCCCTTAATACCTTCCATGAATCCTGTACATCATGTCCAATAGTTAGAGTTTAGAACGAATTGAGTATGTGTATATGTGTAACACGTGTGCATTCACAAGCTTCTGACGTAAGTACTTTTTTTCGATTAAATTCCGCCGAATGAATAGACAGGTAACAGTCACCAATCGCATTTTAAAACAACTTGATGAATCGGATATCTGTGAGAAACAAACAGCGGAAGGATTTGTGAAATGTCTATCTAAAGCAACTGATTAACATACAATTATTGGTTGTAATGAAAATCACATTTTTAATTAACTAGTGTTTGACGTTTCGACTTCCACTCCGGAAATCGGTTTCAAAAAAGAACTATAAAACATTGTGAGACAATGTATAACCAGGTATTAGGTTATGTCATTTCAAAATTGGTTCCACAAAGTCGCACAGCTCGAGAACGGCTCGACGGATCGTGACGTATGAGGTCTCGTATCTATGTTTTAACAGGAACTTGCTGGATTACTTCCAAAGTAATACTGATTTTTAGATCGTTATCAGTGGTGACAATATCAGACCGTAATTTTTTCCATTGTGATGTGATAGTGGATAGGACATAATGCATTCCAAGATTGACAAAGAACAAATATTTGATGGTGAGTTTATCTCTCCCATAATAGTCATTAAACGTATGCCATGATGACTTTTGAAACGTTCGAGCCATCTTTGTTCGGTAGTTCCTTGCAAAAAAAAAACAGCTTTTATGGGTCCCGAAATGGCCACTTGACTGTGTCTTCCATCTCTGCATGTTCAGCTAGCTTGAGTGTCTGTCTCTTGCCTGGCCCAGTCAGAGTAGTTGAAACGAAGATTTAGTCAGTTACATACAATGAATTAACAGACTTTAACAGAAAATTGTCCGAAATTGTTATTTACAAATCAACAGTGATTTGACAAGGGCTTTATTATCGGGGGTCCACTGTACATATAAAAATACTTTGAATAAATTAAAAAGTATATAATTGATCGATTCGACCGTTACTTGATGGAAATTCATTTTATGCAACAATAAAGCAATGAAAACTTTGTTTTCAAAACTTCCACAAAATTTATTATAAAATCTTATCGCTACAGCTGTTTCGGTAGAGTGAGTTTCTCAAGTGATCTATTTTTGGTATTCTTTTACGAAATAGGTTGAGAAGGGGAGAACTGTATGTTTTTTAATTTGTTAATTTCCATAGATTCTAACAAAGATAGCTTAATGCCTTTATTTTGAATGTGAAGAATTTGAAATTCATCATTAAAAGAATGATTATGATCTAGAAGGTGAAATGCGTATTAGAATCCGTTTTTCTATTATTGAAAGCCCTTTTATGTTTTGCTATTCGTTTATTAAAATTTCTACCAGTTTGACCGATGTAATTTTTAGGCAGTCGCCACATTTAAGTTTGTATACACCACTGTGTAAGTGCTTTTTATTTTGGCTCTTGTTTTTAATATGGTGTTATTCCTTTCTTTTTTATGTATTTGGCTATTTTTGTTGATATTTTGCCTGTGTATGTAATCGAGCAGAAGGTACTGGGTTTTTTCTCTGGTGGTGGAAATACCAGGGCGTTCTTCTGTAGTTTTTGATTTAACGTCTCTTCTCCATAATGTTTTAACTACACTTGAAAGTCAAGATATGTTGACGAATCAAATCCTTTATGTTGTTAGTACGAATATTAGTGCGTTTGCCTCCTCTTCTTTCTTGTCTGGAAGAACCATTTCGGAAGTAATACGCAGCAAGGCGCTAAACACGTGCAGAAAAGACAGCACAAGTTTATATTTCTACCGTCTTCTTTTTGAACAAAGTAGGATATTGAAAATTCTGTTTCTTTCACTTAATGTTCCTCAAACACTTTTAATTTTTTGTACTTGTATGACACTTTCATGGCCGTAGAATATTGTATGAAAACGCTTACAGTCTCTAGAAGTAATCAAACTAGCTTGACAACGTCCACCATTATGTCTACAAGCTATCCGTGGCGACGAGTCATCACTGGTGATTTACGTCTTTTATTTATATTTTTCCTCTACTATGCAGATGTTTGTGATATTTTTCTCACGGTACGACCTATGTGAGACACTACCTCTTCTTCAAAACTAGACATTATATCGTTATTCACAAAAATAAACACAAAAAACAGTCCATTTGTAACACAGATGCTTTACCCTTACTATAAGCATTAACTAAATGCAAACGAGTAAATGAGTCACGTGACTTCTATGCGCTCATGGATTGGCCAAGAGGGCTTAAGACGCTTTGAAAAAAAAATCAGTCAGGAAATAAGACGTTTTGGAAATAAATACAATTTTTAAATGGTAAATTAGTCGTTTTGGTACATACAATGTTATTCTTAACCTGATGGAAACTGTGTTTTCAAGAAAATAAAAACCTCAAGAAATCGAAATTTTGGACTTTGAGATACTTTGGAAATAAGCTCTTCAATTACTACTACTCTAGCCGTCAGAGACAAAAATGCTACTGAACCTCTAAAAATTATACGAACAAGCCGAATATTGCTGAAAAAGTCAATTTTGAGACGCCAAAAAAGTCTGCCACTCCTTCAAGTTCAAAAGTAAAATCTGGCTGAGATCATGTTGAACAAAAATATTTATTAGTACTTTTTCTGTGAAATGAATCTTTCTCGCAGAAACAATTGAAGTAACATGAAATTTCGATTTTGGGTTTTGACAACAAATATAAGGCGCTCTAAATATGCATAAAATACGCCAAATTGAAAGTTTCACATTTTAAACGCTCTAAAACCTTTACAACTACTTTTCAAAACTGCACAAGTACCCTCTTCAAAACTACATAACTTACAGCTACAAACTCATCTCAGACCATATTTGTGGAAGCAAAATTGAAATTTCATGTTATAGGTTTTGAAGATTAGCTTTAACAATGTAAACAAATTTAACAATTAAAAGTAAATTTTATTGATCTTATGTGAGTCGTACTAAATGGCGTAAAGCGCGCAACGTTTATTTGTTTAATAGCTTTATAGAAATTGACTTCATTTGCGGCTAAATGCAAAAAGTACATACGAAAGCTGTACTCCTCAAATTTAAAACTTATTTTCATTTTTGTCGATACGACACTCTGATCAAAAGATATTAAAGTTTTACCGTCGAGTTAAAATGCATAATTTCACCACTGATATTCAATCTGTACACGGAGCACATTTTTGAAGAGGCCCTAAAAGATATTGATGAAGGCATCTCAATAAATGGAGTCAAGCTTAATAACCCGCGGTATGCAGATGATACAATAGTGTTTTCCAATACCATAGAAGGGCTGCAAAACTTAATGAACAAAATAACAGAAACAAGTAGAACCTATGGACTGGATATAAACACCAGCAAAAAAAAGCTAATGATCATCAGCAAACAAAACATAACTGCAAACCTGTATGTGAACCAAATGAGAATTGAACGTGTCTCACAATACAATTACTTGGGAACTATAATCAATGAGTCGTGGGACAATACCCAAGAGATTAAATGTAGCATCGGAAAGGCCAAAAGTGCACTCTTGGCTATGAGCTCTGTGTTCAAAAGCCATGACCTCACCCTGACAACAAAAATAAGGCTCCTTAAATGTTACGTATACTCAGTGCTTCTGTATGGAGTAGAAACGTGGACATTGAAGGCGGAAACTCTATCAAAACTTCAGGCGTTTGAATTATGGTTATACAGAAGAATCCTTAAGATACCATGGACAGACAAAGTCACCAATGAAGAAGTACTGCGGAGGATGAACACAACCGCGGATTTGGTAAACATTGTGAAGAGCCGTAAGCTGGAGTATTTGGGACATATTATGAAAAATCAAGGCAGATACGAGCTACTCCAATGCATTTTGCAGGGTAAAATTGAAGGAAAAAGAGCCCCAGGACGAAGAAGAATATCCTGGCTTGCTAACCTGAGAGCATGGTATAGAAAGACCTCAACACAGCTATTTCGTATAGCAACCAACAAAATTATCATAGCCAGAATGATCGCCAACGTTCGGAACGGACAGGCACCTTAAGAAGAAGAAACCGTCGAGTTAATACAAGTTTTATTTTCACGCGCGCTACATTTAACTGACATTCAAAATCGCCGGCCCAAAAACGTGATTTTTCCTGATAAACTATTTTATGGTTTCGGTCGCTCAGGCAAATATTGTTACATCTTATGCGAAGGATGTATAAGCCTGCTGATTAAAGATATCTCATTATAATTTGTCATCATCCCATGTTTTAATTGGCTCTTGGTCCACGTGGAGTGTGGACTGATCAACAGTTCGATGAAAACTTCAAATGGGTGACTGCCCTTATTTTCAAACATAATACCAGGCACATGTGAATGTAAATATCGATATGAATATTAAAACTTTATATTATTATACATCTCAGTCATGGATAATTTTGCAGTTAATAACTACTTCTGGTAGAGTTCTTTTATTTTAAATGTTAATGCCTGCTTTTATTACAGATACATATATTTTTACATAGTCTAACCGAAATACGGGTTGACTTTTTCGGTTTAACGACTGTTTTTTGGCAATCTTCAGAAAATATCGATCAGTCTTCTTTAAGTTTATCAATTTTGCTTCTTTTTTGTACCATTTCAAAATAAATGTCACATTTAAACAAATTTAAAAAAATTTTCTTTTTAGGCTTTCTACATAGATGTTTTTCTAAAATATTCATTAGATTTTTGTTGCATCTGTATGTTTACTGAAATACTACAGTGGATGATAGCCCTTTAAAAGATCAGCCAACAAATATATGTCTCACACTCTATCTGTACATACATTTTTTGGTTCAGTCCGTGTTCATTTTGTTTCTTCGAACGCAGAGTCGCGATATTTGGTCCAACGCAAACAAAGTCCAAACACTTTAGTTAACAAATAAAAAAAAAAAGAAAGATATCACACTATTTACAAAATATAATTTATTGTAATTTTGTACAAATAAAATGTGAAATTATGAAAACAACTTGTCGATTTTGTGTTTTATTAGAAGTAATACGATCAAAAATAACAAAAATCAGTCAAGGAACAGTACACACTATCGAACAAAACACTTCACACCTGTAATATATAAAAAAAGTCTCTTAGTTCACTTTACACTCTTTTTATAACTCATCGTGATCGCCTTCCTGCAACAAAAAAGAAAAGGACATTAATAAAACCGTTAAAAATATATATGTTTTTTGCAAGAAATCTTATTTTTTATTTTTTTTTAACATCTGATAATGCTTGGAGTATTTAGACAAGGCGAAAAGTTCTAGTTCGTTCGAAAAAATATTCCCATGAGATTTTTTTTGCACAATCACTTTCATTAGATACCCCAAAATAAGGTTTAAATAGGTCAACCAGGAGAAAAGTTGTTCAATGTTTTTTAAACAAATTGCAACAATAAATTTTTTCGGCCCGGACAATTATTTTTTGGATTTCTTGAATCAATATGAACAAAAAAGATATGTTTAAGTTTTCTCTAAAGTTAGTCGTTTTCAAGTAATAAATAATTTAATAAAAAAAAAAACGATCGGATAGGCAAGCGGGCTAGGCGGCCGATTCTCATTCGCTTCACTGTCGAATGGTTCAGTGAATGTGAGTTCGAGCCCAGTTCGGTGTACAGAAAAATAAAAAGGCTAACACAGCAGTTTAAAATGACGATTTTCAAGACTCAAAAACACAAGTAAAAAATATTATTTTTTAAATCATCAAATGCCCACAATCATGTTCAGGCCTTCTTCTATAAGCTCCCGATAAAAATTCTGAGCTTATTTATTAACATTGTTTTTTTATTGTTAAAGAAGCGCACACGACAGGGCGGGCTCTCATTTGTACAATGAGTATTCAAACCAACAAAAAATTGTGTCCTCTAGCTATGTCTTGTTTCTCGTATCTCTTATGTACGCTACTGTCCGAGCGTCCGTCATAAGTGCCTCATTCACGATTACAAAACAATGTTTTACAATGAAATAAGCCCAAAATACTTATCTAAATTTTAAATTGTTTACTCGAAACTCGAAAACGATACAGAAAAATTAGAAGAGACCTATTTTGTTCATAATCTTAAAAATTAAAAAAAAAATTGCCCGGGCCAAAAAAATTAATACAATTTATTTACCAAAATTTGAACAAATTTTCGCCTGGGCGACCTCTTGAGCCATATTTTGAGGTATCTCTTGAAAGTGATTGTGCAAAAAAATCTCATGGGAATATTTTTCTAAACGAACCCGAGTTTTTAGCCTTGCCTAATTGGCAAATAAGTCATTTGTATATTATTATATTTTAGTAATATTTTAAAGTAGCGGAGGAGCGCCATTTTGTAAAATTATTTTAGATACCACGTAGTACATAATTTTAAAGACTGTTTGTCATTCAGTATGTTTCTACATTTTTGACTGATTCTGTTACACCATTTCAAAATGGCGACAACTCAATATAATAGCGATAGTGTGGAAAAAATACGAACTACTCCTAATAATTTGATTAGCTTTTATGGAAAACGCTCAAACCGATCAATTTATTTCTCTAGTTTCAAACAATCTGACGAATAACACCTGTCAAAAATATGAGATTGTCGTAATTGTTCTTAAAAGGCAATATATTAACGTGATACATCACTTGAAAGCTATTGTCCCATTCAGTATGCTCCTATTCTTCGTCATTTTCAAACGACGAGAAAAAAATCGTACGACGAGAAAAAACAATCTAGGAACTTACCAAGTAACATAAGAGCTTCCGAATGATGAATCAAATTTCATATATTGTCATTTAGTAAAAAGACGATGACGTTATATTTTTGACAGATGTTTAAAGAATTTTATCACAATATGGAAAATTAGAAAAACAAATTGTCCTGTTCAAGCATTATTTATAAAAGACCGAGGACTATTACATAACTAATGATACTCCATCCTTTTTTTAATGTTCTAATTGGATATTGAATATTAAGCAGTGCGATGGAATGACATTATATTCCATTCGCTTAGCTCGGTCATATTTTGACAGATTCATTGTCGGAAACCTACAACGCAATAATTCCTACTTCTCAGTATTAATAGCTCAAGTATACTACTATTGCAGACTTCTTTCTTTGAAAAAAGAAGAATTAGTCTAAATAGTGGAAGTGTATACTAAACCCATCAAATTTTGGGCAGTATATATTTAAAAAATATATTTTAGTTGTTATAATTTAACATAACTATTTATTATATGGTGCAGATAAATAAATATTGATTGTCGGTAATTCGTATAGTTCTATTTTATTTACTATTTAGTTTGTTTACTAATAATATTGGCTATGGGTATGTGTGCTTGGTTGTATAGTAATTTCCAGCCACTTTTAGTGTGTCAAAAAGTAACTAACTTCACAAAAAAATAATTACTAAATTCACTAGACAGTTCGGACTGGGAATAGCGAACCGGGTATAAAAAATCTAACAATACTGAGTGACACGAGGTTTCAAATGCTGTATGTAATTAAACAAAAATTTTAATGATTTTTTTGACATTAACAAATTAATTAACATTTTGACAAATAAATAAAATAATTCACAATATCACAATATGGGAAGCTAAAAAGTTAAATAAACTAGTTCTATGGTGTTCCGTAAAAGCTGAAGACTGAAAAATTCTTAGGGATCATCCATACATTTTTTTAAAAGTCGCCACCGAAAACTAATCAGTTTCAATTTGGGAATGACGCGACGGAATGGGTGAAAAATCTAGAAATATACTGAGTAATACAAGAGCTGTAAAGTTTTACTTGCCATATGATCGAATTTAAAATTATATTACAAAATGGCGCTAGTCCTACTAAGGCCTAATAGGCTAAGTACTACTTAATAACTACTAAAAATTTTTAAACATGTTTAACTACTAAAAAAGGTATTCTGCTTATATTCCCCGAATGGCTTGTGAAGACATTTATACAAGAGCGATTATTAAGAAAATACAAAAATAAATAGTAAAAATGTATGCTTACTTCTACTTGTGGCACATGTTCTTCTGCATCATCATCCTCATCATCATCATCATCGTCATCTTTCTTTTCATCTTCACTGGCAGATTCTCTTTCGGCTTTGTCTTGTTCTTCTTTAACCTTCTTTTCGCCATCTTGTTTATCTTTAAGACCCGACAATGCTTTCTTTGCATAGTCTACATCATCAGTGACGAGGACATTATCGAAGATGGTACCGGATTTGACTTGCCATAAATCGAAACCGATTCCACAGATTTCATTTTGTTTGTAAAGGTTGCTATCGGGAGTGTACTCAGGATTGTCGATTTCAGGGTGGACCCAGGCACCTTTGTATGCAGGGTTATCGATTTGCTTTGGTTTCCATTCACCTTTGTATTCAGGGTTATCAATCATTGGTGGTTCCCATTCGCCATCCATTTCATCATCCCAGTCATCAGGTTTGGTAGCATCTGGGTCTGGGATGTGTTCTGGCTTGTCCCAATCTTCAGGTTTGGAGTCATCTGGGTCTGGAATAGTGGCCCTAAAAAAAACATTTCAATGTAACAAATAATAATAAACATTGTACAGGGAAAAAAAAAGGAATTTTTTAATGGAGCCGCTTTGATGCCAATCAAAAGAAAAATTTAATTATTAATATCACAAATTAATACACTTAGAGAGTGCCGACAGAAGTGACTACTTCTTATAGCGTGTTATTACTATATGTGGGCTAATGGATTTTTATGTCTGTGTATTACTGAATTGTTAATATTTTTGTATAACACCACGTATTTAAGTTCTTTTAAAATTTAAAATATCTTAATTTTTTCTTTAAAAATTTCACTAATTAGTTTAGTAATTTTCAAAATGAGTTAATATAGAATTTATTCATTATTATCTTGTATTTTACGGTTAATTAGACGATTTTTATTATCATTATATTTCATTATAATGGATAAAAAAAAACAGCCAGTGTGCCGAGGAGTGGAAGCATAGGTTTTTTATTATCTAGGCCTGCAGCGATGGTTTCTACTTTATGTAATTCGATATTACTTAAATTTATATTTAATTTATTTTGTACAAATATTTTAAAATCAAAATTGACCAAATTGATCCAGTTGTTCTTGAGTTGTTATAAAAAAATAAAATGACGTTGGTTAAACATATTGCAGGCATCTCAATTTTTTGAATGACGCTAAATATGATTTCGGGCCCATGCAAAAATCACGTTACAAATATAACGAAATACATTAAATTCATAAATTAATCAAAATCAATTAGATTGGCACTTTCCATTGGAGTCTATTTTTTTTTGCTGGAATCACTTCAGGATGTACCTAGTATTAATAATCACGATATGCGGTAGTCGCAATCCTTGTGCTTAATTTTTTATTTAAGAAAACCTGAACATTTTTACTTTTTGCGCCCATACTTTCGTCTATAACTCGAGAGAAAAGTTTCGGTTTTTCAATTTTACATAATATTTGACTAGCTATAAACTAAAAATTTAATGTTTACTGCTTAAAAAATAACAATTTAAAAAAAAGTGCAAAAAATGGAGTTTTTCCAGTTTCTTTGACACCTTAAATATAACTTACAGCCTTCATATTTGTACTCTACAAAAAACTTCAAGAAACTGATTTTTTACTAAGAAATAAGAAAATATCTTTACCTGTCATCCCAATCTTCTGGTTTTTTGGCTTCTGGGTCTTTGATTTTCTTGGGTGGAAGGAGATCCCAATCACTTTCTAGCTCTCCAGATTCTACTTTTTCACCATCGATTTGTACTTCATAAGTGTTATCTGGGCGAATGATAAGAGTGTAGGCGTGAGTGTAGATATCATCCTAGAAACATTACCGATCGTAATTTGTTGGAAAAACATTTAAAACCAAACAAATTAGTTTTTAGCAATTAAAAGATAATAATTACCTTACATCTGATGTCCTTGTTAATAAGAACATTTTTATCCTTGTAGTTAAGGATAACATGTACTTTTTTGGTACCAGGTCCGCAAATATCGGGACCGAACATAATCCTGTATGGGGATTCCCCATGTAATTCCTCAGGTTTCAAGGAACAATCAAATACTTTAACGTATCCACCACCACAATCAATGTTTTGTTCGTGTTTTACAGTAAATTGGATAACTAGATCTTTGCCTTCTGTAGAGAAGGATTTGAATTTTCTACTTAAAGCGTAGAAACGTGCATCTTCAGATGTTTGAAGACCTAAAAAATGATTAAGTTTTAGTAAAGCTAGCCTATTATCCTCGAAATTCAACTTGCATTTACTGACATGCATACATGATATATTCAAACATAAATATACTTAGGTATTTCATTTTTTGGCAAAAAACATAAATTTTTTGTTAAGTGGAGTATGAATTAATATATTTACCTTTATCTTCTTCTTCATCATTAAAGAATTTTCCAGCTGTCCTAACAAATTTTCCAAATTCTTTATCTGGGTTCTTGCTGTATATCCAATTCTTTTCCCAGGAATCTGAAACAACGAAATTCAATCAATCTACTTTTTCTGAATAAAATGCAGAACAAGTCTTGAAATACAAAACAAATATCTTAGGTGCTTTGGGATATTCATTTTTGTTTTTTTTTTTGCACAATGAATTGATAGATTGTTTGTCTTTATCTATAACAACTTTGTATGTCTTGTATTAAAACTGTAATCAAATTATGAACTAATCTTTACATGATGACAATTTGGGATAAACCAATATAGTTTAGTATTGAAAAGTATGATCTTTTCCTTCACTTTCAATTAATTTCTGCAAAGAGTTTATATAGTTACAGATGACTTAGGAATTCCAGAAAAATATGACTAGTCAAAATGTAATGTCTCAAGATTTCATCTGTAAGGAGCAACTCAGACGAGAGATATTACGAGCCCTAACAACATGTTTGATTGTTCATTTACATAACAACATGTCACTATATTCTACAGTTAATTTGTTGTCAAATTGAGTGAATACCTGTATTATTTCAATAAAATCATGTGTGGTATCTCCACAAATTCCAAAATTCACGAGTTGGTGATTAAAAATTATTGCTGCAATAAAACAATCCCTGAAGTGGCGGATGTTCACGAAGAGCTATGGTACCTGGCCTGTAACGATGAGGTTTTTTAACTCCTCCAGTGGCTGGTGCACTCTTACAAGCAGCTTTGGTTGCTAACTGTTTACTTGGTGCTTTACCACCAGTAGATTTTCGGACTGTTTGCAGATGAACTTAATATTTCTAAAGCTACAGTGAGGAATATAATTAAGCTTTAAAAGGAAAACAAGAGATAAAAAAGGTAAAAGCCTGTGTTATCCAAAACTAGAACTGTTTCTGGTAAGAATAAGAGAATATTAGTAAAATTTTGAAGATTGAACAAATATGCTTGCAGTATAGCTAAATGGAATCATGAAACTGCACTAAACATGAAACTTTTCATACAAAAAAGCCTTCTATCTTCTTCTAAAAAATTTGAAATAAATTTACCTCTAAATAGTGCAGATTCTTAGTTGAGTCAATGTAAGAAGCTGATAATAAATAGAATAGTATTTGGAAGAGAATATGCATATAATTTAAGTAGCATATTGGGAGGCTGTGTCAGTAGGTCGTGAGATTAAAACCTGAGGAGGCTCTACTGTTTTTAATAAACACTCTCTCTCCCTCCCTCTCTCTCCTCCCCCCTCTCTATCTCTCTCTCCCTCCCTCTCTCTCTCTCTCTCCCTCTCTCTCTCTCTCTCTGCCTTAGAAAAATACACTGGACCAAAGAACAATAGACCTTAATAGCCCATTCTTGAGGGCATTAATATTGTCTCAATTTAAAGATCAGGATAAAAATTGTTCCTACCAAAACTTGATTATTTGGAGCAGTTTCTGGAGAATGAAAAAATATGGATATAGAAATGTAATTTTTGATTGTTTGACAAACTCCCTAGAATCATCACCATTCGGCTTCTCGTATCCTGCTAGACATAAGCCTCCTCCATATGCCACCAGGAAATTAAATTTTGCACAATTTGCATCCAGTTATGTATGTCATCAATCCACTGTATCAGTGGTCTTCCCAGCTTCTCTTATCTTCACATGCTCTTTATTCCAGCAATCTCTTAGTTCATCTATCAACGTTGAACTACATGTCCTGCAAATTTCAATTTTAGTCTTGATAATTTTTTATGTCTTTTATTCCTATTCTTCTGCAAATATTTTTTTTAATGTGATCTAAGTTTAATTCCTAAGATTGATCTTCCCACCTCTTCTATGGTGTTGGTTTTCCAATTTAATTGTTCCTCTGATATCCAAGTTCGTAAAAAATTGTTTTACTTTTATTTGCAATCCACTTCTTTAGTTGCCTGTTGAGAGTTCAGTAAGCAGTTCTTCGACTTTGTGTACATCATCAGCAATAAGGAGAATATCGTCAGCACATGAAAGGTTGTGTAGATTTTTATGTTGGTCTTGTACCGATTAAGTTATTTGAAAGCATACTTTAGAATTGATGTTATGAGCTGGGATGACATTGTGTCTTGTTGTAGAACATCTCTCTCCAATGGTGAAATGTGAACTTGTTAGTTTTTTCATAGAGTTGCATATGTGATTATTCCATTTGATTCTATTGTAATTAAAGCCTTTTGGAACTCAACAAAAACTAGTATTAGTTGACAGTTGTATTCTATGGTTTTTAGCACTACAAGATGATCATTAGTACCAAAACCTGAGCAAAAACTGACTTGTTCTATTGGTTGATAGAGGTTCAGTTTGTTTTCTAGTCTATAAATGACTATTTTGGTAAAAAGTTTATACAAATTAGACTTCAAGAGGCTTCAAGATCTATAGTTTCCTTTTTTATAGATTAATATTGTTTTTTTCCAGTTTTTTAAATCACTTGGAATTATGTTGTCATATAGACATAAGATTAACAGACTTTGAATTTTTCAAGGAGAACTTCTCCAACTTTAATAGCCACCACTACTATAGCATCTTCTCCACATACTTTCCCATTTCTCATATTTTGTGCACATGTGCTTTATATCATCCTTGGTAATCTCTGGTATGTCTTTTGAACCCTGGTTAACTACCTCCCTTCTTTTTTCTCTCTTCTATATTCTTCTAACTTTTATAAAGTTCTATGTATAATTCTTTCTTAGAAGAATAACCACAGTAATATGTGGGGAATAGTATGTCTTTCTCCTAAGTCCTGACCCACAGAGGGAATGTAGTGGTTATTGTGATGTTGTGTATTGTCCTCCTCCAAAGATCTGTCTCTGCTCATTTCTTTTAACTCATGCATAAGTCTTTTCCACCCTACTTTCATTTGGTTGATCCATCTTGTTGGGAATTTTCCTCATAATTTTCAGTCTTTTACCTTTCCTTGGATAATAAGTCTTTCCATGTTTTCAGTGTCTGCTCTCATAACATGTCAAAATTTAATTGTTGGAGATCTGGAAAGCTGTTTGCTAACCTTTAGCTCGTTTAAAATTGAATTATTTGTCCTGTGATGTTCATAGAATTCATAACATTTTCTCCAACAAAACATTTCAGTGACATCTATCTTTCTTCATTCCACCTGTCGTTGGGTCCAAGATTCACATCTGTATGCCAGTATTGGAAATATTAAGCAGATTATCAACCTCATTTTTAGACTTCATGAAATTTGTTTGTGATTGTGATCAACAATCCCAGATATAAGTATGAACTCAAAAAATAAATGTGTGAATGATCCACTATCATGATCTCTGTCTTTGATATGTTTAACTGCAGACCAAATATTTGACTTTCATTTTCTACCAGTGATATGAGTTCAATTAAGTCTTGGCCATTTTCAAGAAGGGCTGTGTCATCTGCAAAACATAGGTTGTTTATGTTTCAGCCATTTATTGAGATGCCCTTTGTAATATCCTGGTAAACCTGCCAGGGTATAAGGATGAATAAATAAGTATGTTTTATTCCAGGCCGTTTATTGTGATACTTTATCTGACACCCTCATGTTCACTGCCCTAACATGACCGGTGATGTCACCACGAGGCTCCTGTCATGTTGGTTGCCTAACAATGGCACCACATATATTACATCCTCCCTCTTATAGATCTAAGCGTTCAGGGGGTTTTACAGAGCGACCCGACCTAGTAGTTTTAAGCGATGGTTCATAGACTGGCTCCACAAGAGGCAATCCATGAACACTATCTCTTTGGTTTCTACAGGACTCTCTTTGCTCAGTGTTCAAGATATTTACTTCACAGTGGGGCGGGTCACTTGAATCAGGATTGAACAGACTACATTGTATATTATCATGTCCAGAAGCTGTTTTGAACACATTTAATGATTCTCTTAAATCTACTTTGTTGTGTCTGACTGTGTCTCCATTTTCATTTAAAACCATATAAGACCTTGGCGTCAGGTGTTTATTCGGGCTAAATAGTCTACGAGTTTTACACGTTTTCTGACGATATTTTGTGACTAATATGGAGACTTTGTGTCAACCTCCTGAACCGTTGAACCTAGATGGAAATATAGCGGAAAACTGGAAAAGATTTTCACAAAAGTTTGAGTTATTCCTGACAGCCACAGGATTGCTGGATAAGCCAGAAGCACAGAAGATAGCTGTATTTTTGAACCTTGTGGGTGATGAAGGACTGGACCTTCACAATAGCTTTACATACACAGAAGAGGAAAATAAAAAACTAGAATCAATCATAAAGAAATTCGAAGATTACTGCTCGCCGACTGCTAATTTAATATTTGAACAATTTAAGTTCAATAGTGTAATGCAAGCTGAAGGCCAAACATTTGACAACTTTCTCACAGAGCTGAGAAAGGCAGTAAAAACTACTAGTTACCAAGACCAAGATCAAATGGTAAGAGATAGAATAGTAATGAGTATATGGGACAAAAATACCCAAGAAAAACTACTAAGAGAACCAAAGCTAACATTAACAAAGGCTATTGAATTCTGTAGGACAGTTGAGGTCAGTAAATCACAATCCAAAGCTATTCAAAGTGAACTAGGGGTTAATGCATTGAGAAGTAAGCCATCATCGTCCTCAACACCTAACTTGAACCAGAGCAGTTGCCATAGATGTGGATACAAACACAAGAAAAATGCAAATTGCCCAGCCACTGGTAAAAGTTGTGCCAAATGCCAAATCACTTTGCTGCAGTATGTAAACATGATGAAAAGAAGAAAGAAAAGAATAGAAGCTGGAAACAAAAAAATGTGCACGGGGTAGAGGAAGAAGATAGTGATAGTGTATGTGATGTACATTTCCTAAGTTCAATAAATGTAATATCCTGGTAAACCTGCCAGGGTATAAGGATGAATAAATAAGTATGTTTTATTCCAGGCCGTTTATTGTGATACTTTATCTGACACCCTCATGTTCACTGCCCTAACATGACCGGTGATGTCACCACGAGGCTCCTGTCATGTTGGTTGCCTAACAATGGCACCACATATATTACACCCTTTTCCCATCCTTCAAGCATTCTTCTCATAATATACTCCCCATATAAATTAAATAATTGTGGAAACATCCTTGTCTTGAGACTTTGTTCTGGATAGAATTCATTTCAGAATGTGTCAAGTGTCAATAACTTTAACTGTTCCAGTAGTATGTTTGTATAGTTCAGTTATAAGCAAAATTATGTGTTGTGTTGCCATTTGATCCTGTTGAATGCTTTGTGATATTCTATAAAACAAATATTTAGAGGAATATTGAATTGCCTAGATTTTTATATTATTTGTCTTATGTTCAGGTGTTCTCAAGTACCTCTACTTTTGGTAAATTCAATTTGCTCTTAAGGTATTTCTCTTTGTAGGAAAGTTTTCAGTCCCTCATTGATTATGTGTAGCAATATTTTGCTGGCATGTGAGATGAGGAAGGATTGTCTCATTTATGGAAGGCCATTGCTTGGAATATTGAATTGCCATTGCTTGGAATACACAATTTATGACAAATTTAGTCCACAACAAAAACATCTCAGTATGAGCCAGTTGACTCCTTTAAATACTTAGGCCATGAGATCAGAATAAGTCGAGACAACCAAACAATTGAGATGAAAAGAAGAATAAACCTCGCTTGGGCTGCATTTGGAAGGATGAAGGATATTTTTAGGTCTAAGATTCCAATGTGTCTGAAAAGAAAAGTATTTAATCAATGTATTTTGCCAGTGATGACCTATGGCGCAGAAACCCTAACGCTCACAAGAACAACAGTGAGTAAACTACAAGTTGCGGAAAGAGCAATGGAGAGAATTATGTTAGGGATTTCTCTACGTGATAGAATACCCAATGCTACTATACGCAAAAGATCAGGAGTAGCAGACGTTATTGAAAGGATAACAACACTAAAGTGGAACTGGGCAGGTCATGTAGCAAGATCAGTTGATGACCGGTGGACAAAAAGAATTTTGGAATGGAGACCCCGAATACAAGCTTACAGAAATAGAGGTCGACCCCCAACGAGATGGACAGATGACATAAAAAGAGTGACTACAAATTGGATTCAGATGGCGCAAAATCGGACTAAGTGGAAAAGCATGCGAGAGGCCTATGTTCAGCAGTGGACGTTAGAGGCTAGTTGATGATGATGATTGCTTGGAATAGTATGTGTAGCAAAACAAACTTTAAGTAAAGAGATTGCAACTAAAATTTGAGAATGTCCATTTTCACAGAGCTTTAGAGAGCAGGTTGTAAATATTTTCATTTATGGTCATATTGCAACTGTATATCTTATGATTAAGTCAATATCCCAAATACACACAAGATATTGTGATATACATTGTTTCTTATTACTATTTTTGATTTTTTAATTGCATATTTTCATAAGACAATTATCTATATCCAGGTATGAAGCACTTCTAAAAGCACCTGGTTTTAATTTTTTTAGAAACCTAGGGACTGCTTCAGGCAAATAACCTATAATGCTTGAAATGACAAAGAAAACCAATCCTTATCAACTGATTAGGTTTATATTCAAAAATGCCTGAAGGTGATGACAAAAACTGATAATGTAATCATTTTCTGGAGATAAAACTTTTGGATCCTATTAAGGAACCTAAATAGAAATAATAAAAGGAAGACTCTTTCATTTATATAGTAAGGAAAAAATTAAAAATATAAATGGTTTAAAAACAGCTTGCATGGGTTATAAATTCACCAATATTTTATATTTAGAACAGAACAAAATATTTTTAAAAACTTCAACATGTGTGAATGACTCTGAAAGAAAATAAGCAACTTTTCCTAGTATTTTCTGTAATTCTAATAGAGTTTTTAAAGTTAGGTTGCGATAAAAGAGTTTTCTCTAAAATATGAAATGTTGGTTATTATTATTAAACCAGTATTATTGTTATTGTTCTAGAAATAAGTTTGAAGTACATATCACTACTGAAATGAACATTGATTTTCACTGGTAATACCTTGACATTAGGCACTTTGTGATAAAATAATTAGTTGATACTGGTGATTGGTATAATTAATAGTGTCGTGAAACAATATTATCCGAAAATTTTAATAATGCCAAATTGAGACAATTCATTCGAAAAGAAAATTACAAAACAATTTCACCTTTTGACAACTTGCTTTTCAGCAAGTGGACTACCCGAAAACTACCGGTCATTGAATTCTGTATGTGTTATATATAAGTACATTTATAAAGTAACTTACCATCATTGAATTTCTCTTCTAAATATACACTAGCATGGGCTGCGTATAAATACGCAAAAATCACAAAAACTGCAAGATATTTCATTATTCTAAATTGTTAGGACCTTCTCCGATACGTCAAACCTTCGACAAGTTCTTTCTAGAAATGCCAAAAAACAACTCGAGGTGTGTAGACTTTACGAAACTACATTAATATCACAGACAACCGTATATTATTTCATCTCTCTTTTATACATACCGTATACATTCGGTGTAATATAGAGTTTGTCATTACAACGCAATCCAGCCGACAGATGGAATACTCTGATTGGTCCAAATACTTGAAGAATCAAAAACGTGGCTTGCGTTGTGTCGTTTTTGACCGGCTCTGGCTTTCAGCGTTGCCAAAGATCAAATGAAGAGGGCAGATTCAAAGTATTGAAAAAAATAAATATCTACATAAATGGACAAATTTATGTAAAAGATGCTACATTTTATGTGTATATAATATTCTATATTACAATGGACAATTCTTTTTCGTCTACTTTTAATCTTCCGGCTTTTTAGAGAGATTTTCGATAAATAGAATTCGAGTAGTTATTTCCATCATCTGCACGATTTTCCGATGATTTATAATTTTGGACATACCTTTTTATGTTATTCTTTATTTAAAGAAACTTTTCCATATATTTTAAATTTAAATCACATGAACAATAGTTGAACTTTGATTTGAAGTTTTTTCATAGTGATTGTCAAAAATATTGGTAGTTACTGAACATTGGCAAAATAGTGTCAAAATTTGGGTGTATTTCTTCATGATCTAAAAAACTCAAAATTGTTTTCACTGCTTTCTGCATTAAGTCAACTATTAAATAATAACGTACCTATCACAGCTTCATTAAAGTGCCAAACCATAAATTACATAGCTCTCTAGGAACCTGCTGGTGTCGTTTGCATTGTAATTTAGTCACCTTACTTCTCAGCCTTTGTATCACCACATTGCCATTTTTTTCTATTTTTTAAATTAAAAGAATTTCTTTTTTCCCACCCTTAAGGCATCTTAAGAATGATATAAATGACAATGTGAGATTCTCAAGCAACAAAGACACCGGAAGAGAAAGAACAGAAATAATCAAAATTAAAAATGGAGTAAGATAAGGAAATGCGCTCTCAACGGTACTATTTATTACATCACTAGACAAGATAATAAAAAAGCTGTCAAACGTAGGAACTATAAAGAAGAATGCAGTACCTACAAATAATAGGATATGCGGATGATATAACCATAATAGCAACAGATAAAAGGACATTAAACAAAACCTACCAAGAAATAGAAAATGAAGCCAAATTGAGAGGACTGGAAATAAATTAAAATAAAATAAAATACATGAACGCAAGCAAGAAAAAGAAGACACAAATGACAGAACTGACAATACACGCACACAGTTTCGAAGAGGTTGAATCGTTCAAATAATTACGAGTACTAGTCAACAGAAAAAATGAAAGTGTAGGTATGAAAAGAAGATTGCAAGAGGGAAATATAGCGTTCTATAGCAATAAAAAATGTTTAGAGATAAGAAGATAAGCCAAAACACAAAAATTCAAATCTACAAAACGACCATAAGAAGAATAATAGTACTAATAGTAGTATTTGCGGCAGAGCCATTTACATTAATAGCAAGAGAAGAAGAGCAACTGAAAGGTTTTGAGAGGAAGGTTATGAGAAAAATACTGGGACCAAAGAGGGAAAACGAAGAAGATGCGAGACAATGGATGAATCACGAAATATAAAAGCACAGAAAATTAGATAGTATGGACACATAATGAGAAGAGAGAATGGGAATGAGCCATAACAAAGGTTAAAGTTTCAATTTCCACTTTGGAAATATTTAATTATATTACTTACTATTTAAATGGGAATAAGCCACAATTAAAGGTTAAAGTTACTTTATTGACGTTTCAAGATTTTGAGAACGATTTCCGAAATGGAAATTGAAACGTCAATAAACTAACTTTAACCTTTAATTGTGGCTTATTCCCATTTAAATAGTAATTACTTTAAAATTCCACAAGAAAATAGCTTCAGAACAATATTTAGAAGAGAGAAAATCCGCCATCCGTTAAGAGTTATAAAGTAATGGATACCACCATGTAAAAGGCATCATAGGCCTCCATGAAACAGCCCCTTTGTATGCATGTGTCCATTGAACGGCGCGTGCCCAGTACGAAAGACTGTTTTTCTCCCTCTTCGCCTCTTTTATTTGTAACTGTTATTCCAATAAAAAAATTTTGTTAAAATCCTTTATAAAAGGTATATAAAAATGCCTCAAACGGGCTATCACAAACACATTGCAAAACGTTTTCGGATTAAACAATCCATCATCAGTGCAAACGGTTGTACATGCTAGTAGCCACCAAAATATATGGGTAAAAACCCTTTAAACGTTATAAATTTGAAATTGTTTTACATTATTAGTATTTCTAATTTGTGATGGTTAAGTTAAATTAGAAATACTAATAATGTAAAACAATTTCAAATTTATAACGTTTAAAGGGTTTTTACCCATATATTTTGGTGGCTACTAGCATGTACAACCGTTTGCACTGATGATGGATTGTTTAATCCGAAAACGTTTTGCAATGTGTTTGTGATAGCCCGTTTGAGGCATTTTTATATACCTTTTATAAAGGATTTTAACAAAATTTTTTTGTGATATATGGTAGACAGCCAGCTACAGGAACTTAGTTTCCTCGTGGAATTTTGTTATTCCAATATTCAAATTCTGTTATCTTCTCAAATTTATTCGCTCTGTGCGTGACTGATGCGACACCTACCGCCTTCATCTGACAATTTGGGAATCCCAATTTTCAGGTTAATATGACATATGTTTGACATTGTTAAATACATGCGAAATTGACATTTATTAATAAATTAGTTTTTTAACTATATTTTAACGTTTATGTACAAAATAAATGTAGTATTAAAAACTGGGTTTCTCAAAATTCATCATAATATACCTTTTCAACTCCAAACGGAAAAGACAGGGAAAAATCTAGTACTGGCAAATCAAGTTTTTCACGCAAAAGAGCATATAATTAAAAACAATAATAGTAAAAAGTTATGATATAAAAGCTAAAGTCATCTGCAGTTAGCTTGAAGCCTTATGAAATATCATTCAAGGTAAATTATTTAAATTTTTCCTATTTCAATTGCATAAAAATGAAATTATGTTATATTTACTTTTTCATATTAATAGCACGAATTCATCTTTTTCTTTTCTCTAATTTATATGTAATCTTTGAAAACCTATGAAAACTACACTCACCATTTTTGCTATTATTAGCACAATTAAATACGCAACATGTATTTGCACACATGTTTAATAAAATTTATGCGTAAAAATATTTTGTCCAATATTCCAATTTTGTCATATTTCGCCGCTACGCACGCTGGCATCGTTTCAATTTTCCCCTACCATGGTCACGCACGGAGCGAATACTCTATCCCAATTCGCCCTAAGTGAGAGCGCCCACCAAACTGGCATGGCAAGTGGCAAGTAGCAAATAGCACGCGTCTAGTATGTTACTTAAAATGTAACCAATGCAAACGAATGATTAGAATGAACGTCATTGTCACTTTGGTGTGCGCTGAATCATTCGTTTTTATTGGTAACATTTTAAGTAACATGCTAGACGCGCGCTACTTGCTACTTGCCACTAGCCATGCTAGTTTGGTGGGCACTCCCCCTTAGAGTTATCTATTTATTTTGTTTGCATTTCCACTCTCATTTCCATATACTTGGTTTTTTCTTGATTAATATTCAGGCTATATTTTCTAGCTTCTTCAAATTTTGTGAACATTTTTCGAAGTTCTATTCTTAAACGACTCAGGAACACCAAGTCATCTGCGAAACCTATGCACTCCTGTCTTTTGTTCAGAATCGTACCATTTATCTGGATCTTAGCTTCTCTAATTATATTTTCTATTACTAGGTTAAATAATAATTGAGTGGCTTTAGATCAAAGACGAATATGCGTCAAAAAAAAAAAAATAAAAATTTGGTTAGTAATGATTTCTTATAAAATTGTTCCTGTTCTTTTCAACGGTGATAATAGTTTCCTTCCAACACGGAGGCAAATACCTTATTAACTTCACAGTTGAAGGTCTGTTTCAAAAACGGACTTCTGCTGTGAAGGTTTATTGCAAAAACGGGCATCTCCCCAACAGCCAATGAGAATGCTGTATTGTGATCACATAACTGAGAAGTCAACAATGGCCGCCATTGCTTTCAACTTGTCTGATGTTAATCGTTTTATTTCTGTTTATCTTCTTCTTCTTCTTCTACTTTTTGTAGATCTTTCGATCTGTTTAATTCTGAAGCTGCCTCTGGTTAATTTCTTGGGAGGTAGATTGCCAACTATCCCTCCATCTTTTAGGTGGTCTTCCGGGGAGTCTTGAACCGGGCGGATTGTTTTCTAGGGCAATTTTTGGGAGTCTATTCTCATCCATTCGTCTTACATGGTTGTACCACATCCTCTTGCGCTGCATTCCCCATCTTACAATATCTTGAATTTTGCACTGCTCTCTAATGTTTGTATTTCTCGCTCTGTCTCTTCTTGTTTTCCCCATTATTGTTCTTAGGGTTTTCATTTCGACAACCCTTAGTATCTGTTTCGTTTTGTTAGTATCTTCGCGCACTTCTATGCCATATGTTATGATCGGTCGTATGCAAGTCTTATAGATTCTAATTTTACTATCTGTGCGCATATATGGATTTGACCAGACTATCTCCCGCAGACATCCTGACAGTGCAGATGCTTTGTTGATCTGACTCCTCAGGTCCTTTACTGGGTCGTGGGTGCTTGATATATCTATGACCAGATATCTGAATTGCATCACCTCTTCTATGGGGTTGTCCTCAACCACTAACTTACATCTGAGCGGATCTTTTGCTATTGTTATACATTTAGTTTTGTTGGTAGAGATGTTCATATTTAGTAGTCGGCTTGTTTGAAAGAACTGAAAGAGCTGCCTTTGGAGATCATCTTCTGATTCGGCAATAATTGCTGCATCGTCTGCGTAACACACCATACCAATTCTTTTGTTGAACATTCTATATCCGAGATTAAGAGATGTTACTTTGTTGATAATTTTGCCCATGAGAAGA